AAGGCCTGTCCTTTCATGAGTGCTTGCCTAACCAAGACTTGCTGGGCAGTTGATGATGGCATGAACACATTGATGGGAGGGTTCAAGTACTCTCTGTTCTCATTCCACTTCCTGATCAAGGTGTCACCCCTTTCAGGGTGTCCCTGTGATGTCAAAAAAAGACGAGTTTATATGTTCATGTAATTATACAGCCTGCGATGGTTTCTTTTGGCTCTTACAAAATCTCCTGTAACAGTTTTGACAGCTTTGATCTCCTCAATTGGAGTGATCCCTCCATCATTATCCCCTGATGCAGCAGCAGCAGCTTGACTGATTTTGCTCAAATATCCTGGAAAATGAAGGGTTATTACACAGCCATTATTTTCATAAATGATGCAGGCTTTGGAACCTGGTGAAACTTTCTCAGCAGCAGCGGCATTCAGTACCAAGCAGGAAGCTGTCACCAGGCATGCAATGCTTCCCAACCACATTTTCTGCCCGGATATGTTGAGAAAGGGCAGATGTCAAAGCTGTTGGACATGAGCTGCACTTGTGCAAAAGCTGGTTATTATTACTTCCTGTCCCTGGACATGATGGGACACGTTCAATTTGAAAAGATGGAGAGGCTAATGAAAATTTAGTGTAATATGTGCGGGGTGCAACTAGAATTTTGTCGGTTACTGTATTGTTATACAAAAAAAGGAAGGAAATTACATGGACGTCACGACGAATTAAATTAAAGGAAGAAAATTAATTATTGTGTTCCTGTGCTGCCATGTCTAGTGACTAATTCTTTGACAAGTTTTTCCTTTTTATTCTGTTTAGAATACCGAAGTGAGCATGCTTTCATTCTTCAATTGTGAGTATCTTTTAGATTGTATCGGATCCTAGGAAACTGTGCCTCTCAAACTTATATTTTAGGATAAATTTTATTATTCAGGTGTATGTGAAGGTTATTCAATATAAAAATTTTTGATTTGCTAGAATCTGAGCAATATTTGTAGCATAATTGGATTTATGAAGCCTTTTAATTAACTCTCACCATCAGCAAGATCAATAAATCCTTGACTGACACAAATAAATTGTAAATTGAGTGAATTGAGAGAAGTTTAATGATAATCAAAAAACATTCAACCTGTTTTTGCTGTCTTTAACCACTTTTATAATACCACAAACAAAGTTATATCCCAGGGTCTGACTTTATTTTAATCCTCTTGCATATAATGACCCTGTATGGGAGGCACAGGTATGATTGAAATTTTTTGATACTGTACTGAACTCAGCCAGTCCTATTTGGACTGTGGCCACACAAGGAAGAAATTGTTTCACACTGTCTTTACTATAAATTTGGCATTTTGAGTAAATGTATATGCTACAGTTTCCTAGTAAAATTTGTCATGGGTGAACTATGAGCTACTATCATAGTCTTGCTGCTCTTGCATGCATACATAGGAGAAGAAATTCAAAATTATCTAGAAAAAATGGGTAGCATAAAAATATAAAGGATGCCAAAATTATATATATATATATATATAGAAAAAAATGATAAGTGAAACTTCCAGAGCATTGTAGAACACTTATTCTGTGTTGCACTTTTGAGTGTCATGAACTTCAATTTACAAATTGTGAAATTTTTAGTGGGATTTGAAATCTGTTCATACATTCGCCATTTTTGAATGTACAAAACTATAGAGGACAAGACCCGGAAAAGTTTTTTTTTTGTAAAGGGGTCTTGCAATGGATTCAAGATGTATAAATGTAAAAGAATAATGCACTGCAATTTATTCCTTAACCCCAGGGCAGCAGTGCCAGGATTTATCTTGATAAATTTTGTGCCACACAGAATTAAAAAAGGAAATAAGAATGATTGGAAGAGCTAAATTTGGGAAAAATCCCAATGTTTGCATTATACTGCAGAAAAATCTTCAAAAAAGAAAAAAAAGAAAAACTTTGGGGGTGGACATTTTTGGCATTCCAGCTGTAGAATTTTAAGAGATTTTAAGAAAAATAGGTTACCCTTTCCCAGCCTTTTCCCAAGTTTGAATACTCAGCCAAAGTTGCATTTTGGTGACCTTGGGTCAAAGTAGAATGCACAAGCATGCAAAAATATCCAAGTACTGCCACAGGATGGAATTTTGCCCACCACTATCCAAGGGCTGATTAGTGCTCTAACTCTCCTCAGCACAGGCTGTACTTACAGAATATATATATACAGTATATATATATATATATATATATGTCTTGTTGCAGCTGTAGGCATGTGTTTATATCTTATGATATATATACATAAGATTTATGGTTTTCACACTAATTATTTGAAAAGATATATGTTTTTACGTTTTTCCTTCTATCAATGAACGTAATGTCAAATTAAACAGAATTTTTTCCAAGATTAAATTTTCCAGATGATTCATGAATGAATGAATAAACAGAACACTTTATTTGTGGCTTCTCAGCATTCACAAGGTTCTATCAAGATTTCCACAGCCACACCTGCTTCCCACGCAACCCAAATCCACTCAATGAAATTTGATCACCTCAGAGCAGGAAAGCACACATTGATATCAAAAATAAAAGAAAATACATTACAACATGAAATGCAACTGGACATCTGACATGTATGTAAACACCATTCACTCCCTGACATTGGTAAATGAAATGAAAAAAGATTATTCATTCTCCCCAACTCATAAAATATATATGAACAGACGTAAACGCAAGAGTGAATAATATTCATTCTGGGAATATAAACATTCAAACAAATTTATTCCTCAATACTAAATCAAAAGACGAATGAACTGATCTATTATACAGGATGGAATAATAAAAAGACTAAGCGGCACATGCACTGCTCTTTTCTTAATTCGCATCGCGTCTTCGACCTCCTTATTGTGCGTCATCCATCTTGAGAGCACCTGATATCCTATCTATGATGGCGGCCTCCAGCGCTGCTGCTGGAACTCCGTTGAGACCGAACATGTCCATGCATAGCGATTCCGGCTGTTGTGGACGCATAGGCATCAACACTAGCAGCACTGTCTTCATAGCCATCATCGTCTCGGCCGACAAAAGGAGTCGTGAATCCTCCGGTTCCGTAATCTGCATCCGGTTCCGGATCCACATCCTGGTCGTCTTGGTCGTCTGTGTAGTCGTCAATGAGAGGCGTATTGTTCCGGTAGATGGCGCGTCTTCCACCAGTGTATGGTTGCTGGTCTCTTGGATCCTGTGCATGAATGAAGGTTTGAAATATAGAGGGTGTGAAGTCAGGCTCCCCTTATTTAGGAGCAGAATAGGAATGCTTTTTTTATTTTATTTTTTATTTCAGTACAGTTGAACCTGTTCCAAGTCAAATTTCAAGGAACCATCAGCCAAAAAATTTGAATTCAGGAGGTTTTGAATTATAGAGGTTTGAGCTAGAAAACAAAACCCTTTTGATCTGGGAAACAGAAGATATGTAAACGGTGATTTTAGGGATTGAATTGCTTCTTGAATGGGTTGAGAGGATGCTGAACTTGGAGGCAGGGGTTCATTTGAAAATTTAGTATTCACTCTGTCTCAAAATGCATAAATTTCTTGTATCATTGGTTTTCCTTTCTTTTGTCAAGAAAGTAATCTAAAAGCCACAGAACATTGACCAATGGAGGTTTGAGGGAAAAAGCCTTTGACTTAAGGTACTTAATTTATTCTTTTTAAGGTGATTCAGACAGGGGCAAGAAAAATATTGACTTATGGAGGTATTCAACTTAGGGAGGTTCTATAGCTATCCAGATTCAGCTGTATTTCTATTGAAGTTGAACTTTTATTGCTCAGCAAACAACTATCTGTGAGTCAAAGATTATTACCTTAAGTATCAATTTTTTTATCAAGTCATTTACTACATTCCCTTGGAAAATTTCATTAAAATCCTCACAACTCATATAAAGCTTTTACATTCAAACCTAAATTACTAGAATTATTGGGGGCCTTTTGGCCATTTATTGACATAGGAAATGAATGAATAATAATGTAACTTGATATGTTCAGCAAGGAAGTGTAAGATTATTAAGGAAATTGAGTCCTTACCTACAAGTTTAGCATCCTGTTCACACATTCAGAAAGCCATGGAAGGCCCAGAAAAATGCCATGACAGTTTCACATTATTTTTCTTCCTTTTCTTTATCAAGAATTTTTTTACCTTAACTGGGAGTTTGACTTGAAAGAGGTATGACTGTTTTACAACAGTGAACATCTGTTGAAAAATCACATTATGCTGGTTTTTTTATTTCTGGGCACTACTACAGTTTTTGCATTCAAACAATGTTTGGATGAATATACTGTACTGCATTTCTTGCTTCAAATACTGTATTCGCTTTGGCTGAAAAGGATTTTTACTTACTCAAAATTATCCGATTTTATCATGCTGTAGTGTTCAATTTCCCAATGATAAAACGAAATTTACATTGAACTGTGTTGAATTCTGCAGGGTCTTGTTGCCACGTGTTTCAAATTAAAAAAAAGAAATATATTCTACTTTTCGTTGCTGGCGCACAGGAGTACCAGCATGGCCGCCTCGTTGGTGCCTCACTGACATGTACAGAGCGTTGGGGTCTGTCACAGAGCGAGACTGACGTGTATTGAACATGAAACCATCATCGTCCTCAAATGCTTCCTCATCATCAGTAGTTCCTGCTGGTGCCCCATCAACTTTCCCACCTCTCCCACCTGGAATTCCAAAAGAATTTTCAAATTAAGATGTATTAAAGATCAACGTTTATTCAAATTTTTAGATGCTGCAGAAGGCAGCAATTTCAGTTCAGCAGTTAATTCAAGCAGCTCAGAATAGAAAAATTTATGAGATTTTAGCAGCATTAAATAAATTTGAGATTAGCAGCATTAAATTCATTTGAGATTAGCAGCATTAAATACATTTGAGATTAGCAGCATTAAATACATTCGAGATTAGCAGCATTCAATCAACTGAAAATTAAGATTTTACATTGATATTGTTTTATTTTTATATTTTGCTTATTTATTTTTTAATGGCTAAAATTGATTGTTAATTCCGTTTTATAAAACTCATAAAAGTTCCAAATATGTCAAAGATTTAGGAAGTCAAAGAAGTACCTCCGTCCGCAGGCTGGGAAGGACTAGTGCAAATATTTTGGCACAAGTTCTGCATGAACCCTGCGCATTCGTCATCTTGCTTATTGGACTTTTTCGGCACCCTGCC